TTTGGAATAGTTTCCTGTTCCTGTGGCATGAACTTTGAGGATATTTCTGAGTGTTTTTCTAGGCCTTGATATCTGTGGTTTAATCCTATTATCATATCCTGCTTCCCAGGTGATGGGGCTAATGACTCCTAGAGTTTGGGTGGGGCATGCAGATTTTCTCTTTGTCTTCTTGATTGCTCTGGCTTCAACTTTCTGATGGGTTTACATCTGCATTTGTATGGGGCTAGGTCTTGCTTGGGGCAGAGAGATTTGGAGCCAAAGTTGGTTTCTGCTTTTTAAAATACTTTTGAGGAAATATATATTTCTGCCCTTTTAATATTTCCTTCTCTGGGGCTCTGACTTCCCACAGCTCAAAGGGAAAGCATATGTTTTTGACACAAAATTTCTCAATAGGCCTGAGGAAAAACACTTTTGAATCACAGAGAGCTGCTATAAGTCAGTGTGAACAAAAAAGAGACAGACTCCTGGTCTGGTATAAGGTAGGCATATACAGTATAATCTTGCTAATCTATCATGAAAGAATATAGGAATGGAAGATTGTAAATAAACCAGTAGACTGAGCTGGGACACAGCAATCTTTTGAATTCTTAAAAGATAATCAGGTATTAAACTTCATCTCTTAAAAAGTTTATCCACCCAATCACATGAAACATCATCTCCTGGATGCAGAAGGAGTTAAATAAGAATAGTTTCTACACTATATAACCTCCTTTGCAAATTGTCTAAGTAAATTAACAGTGATTCCCCAGAAGGACTGTGATACCTGGACTGCAAAAATCTAGGCAACCATTAGAATAATATTTCTCAGTCATGGCAACTTTAAAATGAATGGACTTCAACTCTCAGAATATTCTCACCAACATGCTGGCTACAGGGAATTCTGGGAAATGAAGTCCACACTTGGCACTAGTCTAGTGAGAAACTGCATTACAGTATTGAAGATGAAAGTGATACAAAAACTACAATTGCTGCCACCTAGTGGTCATGCAGATCTTTGTCGTTCAGATACATACAGTAAACACATTGCTATATTAGTCAGCAGTCTTTTCCATGAACAATGTTTCTTTCAACAATGTTTAGTCATGAGCAAGTCCTATTTAAAAAAAGATCCCCTGCAGTGTTATTTATGGGTTCTCTTTTATTATTACTATTTTATTATTGTTAAGCTTTCCCTTTTAAGGCAGCCAAACTATTACTCTGTAATAATATTATAGACTACCGGCTTTCAATCTACAACTGCCATACATTAAATAAATAAAATAAATTGTCTGTTTTGGGTACTTGGGAAATGGGAGGAATTTAGTTTAATTGGGTGTTACCTAGCTAGCTGCTGTCTGAAAAAGGAAGAAGACTTTACAATATTCCATATAACATTTTCTCTGCTTTCTTTATAACAAACTATATTTCTTTTGAAATACATAAAAGTAGAAATTTTCACACTTACGGGCATTAGAACAATTTATCATTAACACTTCTCAGTGATTCTGAAAAGCAGTAATAAGAGCAAACATTGGAAGAGAAATTTGGATTATAGTTGATTACTTTTGTGAAAACGCTCAACATATTTTATCTGTTCACCCTGGAAAGCTGACACAGCACTTGAATTGTTTAGGAAAAAAATCGCAAGAACTTGAGACACATTGAAATCTACCTTAGGCCAAATAGGCAGTTGGCCCATCCAGTGTCTTACACCCAAATGGTATCAGTCTTTGTGTCAGAATCCAATCATATTTCATATCAAGTTATCAACTATGAAAAACTCCATCCCTGCCTTCCCTGGATTCTGTCATGGATGAAGGGAAGGGGGAGAACAAAGGGGCTTTATGGCCCTCATTTCCTTCAGCCTACTTCAAAGGGACTGGATGTGGAATCACCAAAAGGACTAACAATAACAATAGGGGGTCATTAG